ATCCCGTCATATATGTTCTTGACATTGCCTTTTTCTAGTGTGACACTGATAGGATGTGGAAGCAAAGCTGGCCACCAAGTATAATAACTAGATCATTAACACTTACCAGGTGGGAGGAACTGAAACATAATCATAATGGCGAGGAAGCAGGAAATATGACCATGGCTGTTGATGGCTTGTTGTTCACGGCTGACGAGCTTATCGACCCTGCACAATTCATCCAGGTTTTTCAATGCTTGTAGGAAAATGTATTGTTAGGCATGTTTTCATAGCATGAATGCACAGCTAGAGCATGTGTTTGGCTTTATTATTAGGTTGTAGGGTCAGAGTGCAGCAGTTGGTGTCGCCTGGTACATCATGAAATATAATTACTGCATATCTTTTGCTCTCTTCCATCAATAAACTGTACCTGTGTTGACTCATTGCCAGAAATGCACAGGCATTATTTGGACTCGTCATCATCATAAATGAGAAGTATTATGACGGCAAGGTCGTTCTGGAAAGATGTAGCCCCTCTCCTCCTCTTACAGCTGCTGTCACTTCACATTACAATCGGAAAGATTAGTTGAAGAACAGAAAATTAAATCATTTAAGTTATGTTTTTTGAGTAAAAATGGCTATAATTCTCTGTTCCATTCTCTGTGATAAGTAACTGGATATCTCTGTGTTGTTAACTGTTGATCTGACAAAACAAGACATTTAAATCTGTCAAGTTATTGTCAGCTAAACAATTAATCCCTTAAATGAGAAAGTAAACATGTTTATTCTCAGCAAAATAAGGCATCAAAAGAAACATTTTGGTATCAGAGATGTAGGTATTTCATTGACAAGTCATAACGAGTAGTAGAAATATTGTGTTATTGCCTTTGCATAAACCAGCAAAACAACCGTGGGTTTAATGTAAATGTCAATATTATTACCTTGTTTTCATCGTCCAGGCTGCAGTTTACTAAGGCTGCGTTCAGACTGCAAAATGTCTCTCAAATCAGATTTTAAAAACAGATGATCAGCACTGTAATTGCAAGTGATCAGATCGATTTGTATGTCCAGACATTACCAACCTGTCTGCAAAGGTTGCATTGGTAACAATTGTAAGCATCAGTCACCACCACTGTTGGGCTCCTTACTCTAAAAATGTAATATATTAGTCATTACTCTTTACTCTTTTCAAAAAATAATGATATTACTTAACTTATTACTACCTGCCAACAGTAATTCGTTACTACTCGCTATATTACTTTTCCGTTACACCCCATAAAATTAGTAGTTGCCTATCTCCCCAAAATTCAGATGTGTGCCTCTGAGTGAATGTCAGGGTAATCGCCGCTAAGTGTAGCTAAGGCTAGATAGCATTTTTTGTTTGTTTGTTTATTTGGAGGTTTTCAGTTGCCTGTGACCGGTATTTTCCCAAGACTCTGCCTCAAAGATGGAGAGTCACTCATGGAGTAACATTACATCCACCACATATCCAGCCACAAGCTTCATTCGTCCTTGTCGCTGCAGCTGTCCACAATTAAAATCCAGCATTGGTTGTTCAGCCAGTGTAGCGCTATGTCCAACATCCACGCCTTTGGTGGGGTGTATTTCCTGGAGCTTAAAGTGCTTGTGCTGTTGGTCAGTAGCCGAGGTGTTTCAGACCCGAGGTTTAGGGACGTGTTTTTCGCAGTGGAAAGAGTTTTACTACCACTACATGCAGCAGTGATGTTCTTATCATCCTTCCTCCTGACAAAATCAAAGTAATGGGAATATTTCCAGCCGTATAAGTTATGCGTTTCCATCTTCCAAACTAGCAGAGCGATGATAACGAAAATGAGTTGGCTGATATTAATGTTGTATTTCAAGTCAGTAGTGATGTGATAACAAATGTTGTAATGAGTTGTTTGGTTTTGAGGTAACTGTAATATTATTACTGGAATTTTTTTAGTAATTGGTTACACTACTCATTGCTGGAAAAAGTAATATTACTGTAACTAACTGCCTAACACTGGTAACTACATACCTATGCTGGTGGCGTGGCTTTCTAACACAAAAGCATGAGAAATAGAGGGCCATCATTTTCGCCCTTCAAACAATTGTGCTGTCAAGTCGCATTGCAGAACTCAGAACAGACTTAGCATCTTTTCAGATACTGTTGGTCTCCATGTTGTCCTCGTAGCGCTCCGCTAGTAGCAGCATGGATTCTGCTCAACACTTCTGTCACTCTGGATTTGACGTCAGTGTGTATCACACTGCAAGTGATGCGAAACACTTTAGAATCTGATTTCAGTGGCTAGAGCATCCGGACTGAGGCACATCTGTAGAAATCCAACTGGAATCGCATTTCCAACCACCTCCAAATTTGGTTTAGATCCAATTTGCGAAAATGGCATTTCAGATTTTTCTTTTTGATAACCAGACTTTCTAAAATCAGTCTGGATGTGTCTAAAAACAGATCAGCAGGCAGTCTTGACAATCCTAAAACATCTTTTTTCTCAGTTCATAATTTGACTTTACCATAGTTAAAGTTTCAGCTGTTATTTAAGCATATGTACTCTCAGGCTAATGTGTATTTCCTTTAATGTGGAGCAGGGCTCTCGTTTCTAACTGTGGCGGATGTATTCCTTTGTTAAGTGCTGCGTGTGAGCAACATAAGGAGGGCTGAGGCAGAGAGAGGGGTGATCTGAGGTGAAATGTAAAGAGGGCTAGTCAGGAAGGATTAACGTCCTGTGAGCAGCGTGTCCCTGCAGCAGCACCCAACACTCTGACAAAGGCTGCTTGTTTTATTGCGGTTTACCCATGGATTTAAAACGTTTTGTGTGTACAACTGATATTTAGATTCTACAGCATGGATGTGGTTTTACAGATGAAGAGTCCATATTGATGTGTGCAGCTCCCAAGAATAAATGAAAGGCTTTCAGGCTCATTAACATCCCTCCAAATCTTTCAGAAACCTAATTTTTGTCAACAACATGTTAGTAGTAAAATAACAAACCCTGTCTGTCCCTACAGTTTGCTAAACATGACAGAATTTCATGTCCTTCGCTGCCTTCTGCTGCTGTGTTTGTGTATCTGCTGTAATAAGATGGTCTTAAATTCGATTTCTGATACCATTTAAAGGGTTTTAACTTTAATATTTGGTCTAATGGATCATGCAGGAACCCTGTTAACTGTCCCTCTATTCACTGAGTGCTTCATCAAATGTTGCAGCGTTTCCTGTTGCTATGGTTACCCCTCCTGATGCAGCCAGAGAGGTGCAGCCTGTAGACTTTGCAGATAAAGAACAGGCACAAGTCCATTAAGGGCGACTGAAGAGGAATGTCAAAAACATAAAAGACAAAATATTTTTCAATATAATGCAATTCAACAACTGTATTACAAAAAACTACAGCGCTGAAAAATGGCTATAGAGTCAAGTCAGAACCAGCAGTAAGGTTTGTTGCAGAGCTGGAAGGACTGTACTGAGATTTACTCTAGGGCTGGGTGTTATGGCAAAAACTAATATCATTATCATTGTTTCCATATTAATCAATGTGAATATTTATCATGGTATATAGTTTAAAATGATGCCAGTGTGATGAGCATCCTGATAATGTCTGAAGTCTGAAGAAACCAGAGGGTTTTTAGTAAAACCTAAGAATACAGTTCATTAACAAAAAAAGTAGAATAATATAATGGAAATATTTAATGTGCAAACATGCTTGGAAGTACAGTTAAAAGCAATACAGTTAGCTTGCATTTAAACTTATTAAAAAATGTATATAAAACTATATGCTGTAACTACTATCACTTCTATGTACAACCAAAACTGGCACAAGTACAACTGTAAGATAAAACAAGGCTTGCACATGTCTTAGAGGTAGAAATCTGAGTAAAAAGTACAAAATGCAAACATAGTTGAGCAGTCATTATGTTATACATTATGGGCAGTGGCCTTAAAAAACAACACAATTGACTTTTGTTTTAGTACAGCCTTGCTAGCCCTGCTAAAACATGTGGACAGACTAACATGGGCTCGTATTTTCATACTTGGTGTGGTCACTGTGATGGTACTTACTGAGGTGATGAAGAAGATTTGTTGTACTTCTTGGTTGGCACCAACAGACAACATAGCATCTGGTATAAGCGTCCCTTGTGTGGGTAAAGCAGCACCTGTAGTGTGTTCAGATATACAAACCACTCTCTACAGGGCCTTGCTGTCCTGCACTGTGCTGTGTCTGTACCAGGCAGTGATGTTCCCCATCAGGCTGCAAATTCCTCAGTATTTGAGGGGAATTTCCTCAGGTAAAACAGTCTCTGCCTTGCTTTTGTCACCACTGAGTCAGTATGCAGTGCTCAGATCAGGCCCTCATTGATGTGGACACCAAGGTATTTGAAGCTATCTGCCCTCTCCACCAAGGGCCTGTTGATATAAGGGGGCCGTAGCTCTTTGGCTGCTTCTCCTTATTCTTCATTTTCTAAAGTCCACTATTATCTCTTCAGTGCGGCTGACGGTCAAGAGTAGGTTGTTATCCTGACACTAGCAGGTCAGGTCTTCTTCCTCTCCCAGGTAGGCCCTTTCATTGTTATCTGTGATCGGCCTGTCACAAATTTAATGATGGTGTTGGAGTCTGAAGTGGCTATATCGTCGTATGTATATGGAGTACAGCAGAGGATTCAAAACGCAGCCCTGGGGTGCTCCTGTGTTAAGGATGAGGGTAGAAGAGGTGTGTCCACACTCTCTCACCACCTGGGGCCTGCTTGTCAGGAAGTCGAGGATCCACATGCACAATGAGGTGTTAATCCCAGCTCCTTGAGCGTTGTGACCAGCCTGGAGAGAACTGGTGTTACAGTAACATTGAACTGCCATCAATGAACAGCAGCCTCACATAGCTCCCTTTCTTTTCCAGATGAGATAAGATGGTGTGTGTTTTCAGGTTTTTAGGACCACTGCATTATTACTTGTTCTAATGAAAAGAACAACAGAGCTGCAAAAAATCTGTTAATAACCTTTCCTTGTTTTTCCATTTGCTCCTCCTCTACAGGTCAGTTAAAGCTGAAAATGAGTGCAGTAGGGGAAAATCCCCTGGACCCTGCCACGCCAGAGTCACGCAAGAGGAAGGGCTCACCATGCGACACATCAGGGCAAAGGTATATTCCTAAACATGTGTTGTTGTTCTGTTAGTGACATTATAATACAATCAAAAAGATTGTGCATAAATTAAAACTCTTAAATGTTTTCCTCGTATTCCTCCATGGTGAACGAAGAATCCAAAAAAGGTGGTAATTTTTCATGAACTGAAGTAAATGGGGGCCGTGTATAGCAACAGCAAAATGATATCAAAACATCTATCTACAAACTTTCATGCAACTCATGCAGTATAATCCAAGTCTCATTTATCTAGTCGTGTACTCAGTATGACAAATAGTGTGCCCCTGAGCGTGCCTGAGCACATGAGTTCATATGACCTCTGTTTGATCAGAGTTCAAACACACACACACACACACACACACACACGTGCCCAGGCATGGTACACAGCCATGTATAAGACTGTTTGTACTGAGGAGTTTTAAATCGTAAAATTTTAGTGAGAAGGGGAAGTACTGAGCATGAGACTGGATATATGAGACTTTGGATATACTGCACGAGTTGTGTGAGAGTTTGTAAGCAGATGTTTTGTTGTAGTTTTGCCGATGTTAAATGCAGCTCTGTTTACTACAGTTCACGAAGAACACTCCCTCACTTTAATGTAATATGGTCAATTTTGTGCACCAGGGCTCAACAACCATGTGATGTTGTCAATTCTGACAAAAAGGAAACAAAACATCCTTAAGTAATTGTTTAAGTGTATTAACAATAAGATAATTTATATTTGCAAAGTCGAGCTTAGCCCAAATGAGGCAATCGTCATGTTATTGAAATTGTCATGTAAACACATCTATTTATCTGAGGTACCGCTCAGCTGTTATTTTTCTTTTAAGAGTTGGATTGATAAGCAGAAAATTAATTGTCCTGCTGTTTTGATAACAGAATAATAATCAAAGTAATTTCTCAGCAAAAATGCCAACTTTTCCCTTATTTCACCTTTTTAAATGATTGTATTAATTTAAAATTATCAATTTATTGTTAGTAATTTTGAGGTTTCATCTGTTGGTTGGACAAAACAAACATTATGAAGCTGTCAGTTTGGGCTCTGGGTAAATTGTGACGGCATTTCTCACTCTTCTGAATTTTGAAATCAGATTATACTGGCATACTTTTACTTGTGCAGTCCAGGACTCTTACTCTGTACAGTGTGGTATTAGTAACATTACTAAAGTCAAGGATCTGACTTAAATAAAATCCTCTGGATCTATAAAATTCTATTAAGACCATGATTCAGAGTTAAAGTTAGATGCAGCTTAGGTTGGGGTCAGGTTTAAGGTAGGTCATGCAGTGGTGAAGGCATGAATGTACTCTGTGTACTGTGCGTGCGTCTATAAGGCCAGATAGCTGATGTAAGCTGATGTAACAGCCCAACTAGCATTTCTACAGCAACTACACGCAGCCACTGACCTGCGCATTCACACAGCAGAGTCCTCCCCCTCCTCACCCCTCCCTCCCTCGGTCACCACGCCTGTGTGTTCTGGCTGGCCAATGCACTGACCTACTTTTGCTGTTGTCGTCTCACACACACACACACACACACACACACTTACTCGCATATACACACATTCCTTTTTTCATGTTTACCACATACCTTACTGTAACTCGTCGGTTTGAAAGTATATTATTGAAACTGGAGAATAAGGTTAAGCACAAGGCTAAGCGGAGAGTCTGAAGAGGCTCGAGGTAAAGGCCAATTTAAGTTGCTTTTCAATGTTTGTGTCAATGACTGGCAGCTTTCTTGTTTACATATTACGGGAACAAATTACAGGCAGCTGGGTGAAAAACCACTGCACTTATACAGCACATTGTGATGTTACTTACACATTTCCCGGCTCTGACACTGATAATTTAAACCACCTGTTGTTTGGGAAAAAAACAAGTTCCAGTTGTTCACTTTTATGAAGCCGTGTCTTGTGATCAGAAGTTTAAATGTTTAACCTTTCAATTAATTTTAGTTTAAAGTAAACAGCATCATATTAAGACTGAAAGAGGAGCATCATGTAGTCAAGTAAAGATCTAGGTTGCAATTATATATTTTCTCAATTAATTTATCATTAATTTTATCAAGAAAATAGAGTCTGACCAATTTGATCCAATATTTGTATTGGGTTCCGATACTGACATAATTTACTCATCAGATATCGGACTGACTTTACTGATCCACGAACCAATTCAGATTCCATAAACTGATTTTGGGTATACATGATGGAGCACCTGCCATTTACTCCTGGAGTGCTTGAAGGATGAATAATTGATTTAATCAGTTATTTTATTTTCGTTAACCAACCATCATCTAACAGCTTAATAAATAAATATCAACCAAATATGAACACAAACATTAACCAAACAAAAAGACAACACTTTAAGAGATATCCCAAATTAGAACATCACCCAAAAACCCAGTCCCCTGGGCACGAGACACAACACATAGATGCAAACAAGTGAAATCTTCATCTACATGAGTCACTGCCAAACTTGTTCACCTATCTATTGAGTCCCTGTGAATCCAAGTGGGCATGCAGGCAAGGTGTTGTTTACCACCTGACAAGACCGTTGTGCTATCACACCCAAATCAAATGAACAATAGCTTGTCTATTCCTGCCCATTCACAGTTTAAATGTGTATGTAGAATGTTCCTCAGATGTGCTGGGACAACTGAAAAGAAACTAATTAACTACATTGGCATCTTTAGCCCACAAGTCAAGTAGCTGCTCCAAGCCCAGAATGCATTGGGTCAAAGACAAGATTTTGGTAGCGGAAGCGTTCAGACTTCCTTTTATAGTCCATTTGTTGTCCGATTGGTAGTGGCCAATCATGTTTGAGTGGCAGGTAAACAGTCAGAGTGGTGAGGCAGAGCACATTGGCCAAAATACAATCTCCAAACCCATCGGATATGTCTGAAGACAATTTAGCTTTACATCAGCTTCTTTAAAAATGTATCTGAAGTGGGGCGTCGGTGGCTTAGTGGTAGAGCAGACGCCCCATGTACAAGGCTGTTGCCTTAGCGGCCCGGGTTCGACTCCAGCCTGTGGCCCTTTGCTGCATGTCCTTCCCTCTCTCTCTCCCCCCTTCACGCTTAAGCTGTCCTATCAATTAAAGGCTAAAACGCCCAAAAAATATCTTTAGAGAAAAAAAAAAAAAAAGTATCTGAAGTCATGTGCAGATAGCTCTTAACAGAGATTAGTCGAAAATGACCAAAATATTGTCAGTTGCCTTGTGAGGTGTATCGTCATCAGATGAGTTCACAGATTGAGGAGAGTCCAACTGTAGGGCCCATGAACAACATTTAACCACCTTATGGCCTGGCGTTGATGCTATCACAGTGATGGCCTCTAGGCTCTTTAAGCAAACAGTGAGAGTCACTCACAGTGCTCTTAGTAAAGGTATTGGCAGGTATTCAGATTTGGGTATCTCAATTGGATTGGAAGAAAAGTTGATTGGTCCATCTCTGATATAGAATGTTAGCTATGAGCAAAAATTGCCCAAGCCATAATCACAAGTCCTCAGAGCTCAACTTAACGTCCTCAAACCTGTTGTTTTATCCATCCAACTAGAGCTTGACAAACACATCTACTGGGCTGATGCATCAGCTGTTTTTAGCCTATTGCAGATATATAAGTGTTTAGGTCGGCCGATAAGTAAGAAAAAATGTCAGAGGTAATTCAAGAACACTGTCTCCATTACATTGTTATATACTGTTGGCAGAAACACTCAGAAGTTTTTTTTAGCTGATAAATTGTTCACTGAGAACATACAGTATGTTGGTCACGATTCTTTAATCAAGCCCAAAGGATTCATTGAGAAAATAACAGCAAAATTATCAGTACTGGGGGGGGAATCAGTTGCAGCCCTAAAAGGTTGAATCACAACTTACTTCCTTTGTGTAAATTTTTTTTTTTTTTAAAGGACCACATGTGAGTGATTACATATCTGAAACCTTAACGTGTGTTCCTCCGCAGTGTGGAGAAGCGGAGACGGGAGCTGGAGTGCCGCTACATCGAGGAGCTGGCTGAGCTGCTGTCATCCAACATGGGCGACATTGCCAGTCTCAGTGTCAAGCCCGACAAGTGCCACATCCTCAAGAGCACCGTGGACCAAATCCAGCAGATGAAACGGCGTGAGCAGGGTGAGAGAACACACACACATACACACACACACTAATTCTCTGCTATGAAGAAGTTTGCACGCATTAGATCTTTTGTGTGACATTTTTCACAAATATATTATTTGTCTGCAATCTCAAAAAAATTTAAGTTCTACAGGAAGTTTCTATGTCTGTGTATTCAGATTTGTGGTGTTTGTTTCCTCCCAACAGAGAAAGCGGCTCTTCTGTCTCCCGATGATGAGGTGCAGAAGAGCGACATCTCCTCCAGTAGCCAGGGGCTGGTGGAGAAAGAGGCACTGGGGCCCATGCTGCTAGAGGTAAACAACTCAATCACTTATTTCTTTCCCACCACCACTTTTACTCCAGCTCAGCACACACAATCTGACTTTCCTCTCCTCCTCCTCCTTTAGGCCCTCGATGGGTTTTTCTTCGTCGTCAACCGGGAGGGCCGCATCGTCTTTGTTTCTGAGAACGTGACGAGTTACCTTGGGTACACCCAGGGCGAGCTGATGACCTCAAGCGTCTACAGCATCCTCCACGTGGGAGACCACAATGAATTTGTTCGCAATCTGCTGCCCAAAAGCCTTGGTGAGTGAGCCTGGACTCTTGAGTGTGCATGCATCTGCTGTCTTATGATTTATATCCTGGGTTTAGGATGCCATTAGTTTGTATTTTTTAAAAGATATTTGGTAATTGCCTTTTCAGTATCCTCAAATTTGACAGTTTCCATGCCAATGAAACCCATTAAGGGGATGGGTTTTGGCAGCAGAATCAGAATACAGTGCTTAATACAGATAATTAACTTGGTTTATTGATGGAAAATACTGTGGCTGAAGCACATTTAAAGAGGCACAAAGAAAGGCAGGATGACAAACTATGGGAATTTTGAATTAACACAGTTTTAAGTGTTCTTCACAAAGCTTCAGAATGTGCTAGGGGAACGAGGAAGCAGTAAAGTCAGAGTAGAGAGTGTGTGTGGGTGAGTTTGACAAGCGATGGAAGAGTGAAACAGCGACTTTCTCCCGTGTGATGATGTTATTTAAATTTTTAGCTACAACCTTGAGAAGAGAGCATAATGAAAATGCAGAGGGCCTGAAGCGGGTTGTTTCAGGACAAAAGATAACAGAGTCCAGAAGGCAACAAGGTTGAACTGTCGTATTTTCTGTTCTGATCCTGTCATTGCTTTTCATTTTTGTGCCAGCCACAATAGCTCTCTTTTCTCCTTGGAAACGGAGATCTTTAAAACCCACTCTCACAGAGAAACTAAATACAAATTACATTTTAGCCACACTGATTATTCCTACTATTGGTACACGTGGGTGTGATTTTAGGGTGCTATAACAACCCAGAAAGAAAAGAAATTTAATGTGACAATTGGACAAACTGAGGAAATATATATTCATTATATGGTGTGTAGCATCTGCACATCTCTGCTGCATTCATTTGGAGCCAGGAGTGATTACTCACCCAACAAGATTGGCATCTTCCAGCAGCCTTGGAAAAAAAGCATTAAATGAGACAAGAGGAGATTTGGCAGGACCTCCGTTGGGCTGTGCTCTGTGGCACAAAAAGATAGTTTGAAAGAGTCATACTGGGAATCAGGTACCCATGTAACAAAAGCCATTGGGAGCATTATTTAGACACAGCGTTATATTTCACAGCTTATTGCCTCTTATAAATTGCAGATATGTTTGTGAGAAGGGTTGGGGAGTAACTGAATACAGGTAACTAAAGCCCTGTTTCCTGCAAGCAGTACGGTACAATTCAGTTCTGTACGCTTTTTTCCATTTCCACTGTGAAAAGTTGTGGATGGAACCAGTAGAACCGTTCCGTAATGTCCCCATTTTTGGTCCCCCTTCTATTGGGGTACCTAGCACACAGATCTGGTACTAAAAGGTGGAGCCGTGAACCTGTGTCACTTACGCCTGAGGTCAAAGGGCCCTGTGCAAACTTATGACGTCAACTCTCTCACTAGCTGCTTGTTAGCATGCTGTTGTGCAGTTGTGTAGGTAGAGCTGGCGATTTGGCTGTAAGCAGAATTCAAAATGTGTCCTTTCATAGGGCAAAATGATGGATGGTCACGTAACCAACTCGTAAAATTGGCAAGTCATAGAGCATCGGCGGGTTGTCATCAAAACAACCACCACATCCTGTATTGATGACATAGTCCTAGTCGGGGATACATCAGGACGCATGATCTTTTAAACTACAAAAGATGTGTGGTCGAAGGCATCCTGGACCACCTCAATAGGTGGCTTTAGCAATTGGATTACAGTGCGTCTTGGTGGTCGTTCGCAGTTTTATTTAGCGATGTCCATCGGATCATATCCATGGGATTGGATCACACAAGACGCGTGTTAATACCAGATGTAGACAGGGTTAAAGATTCTAGTGCAAATAGATAATTTTAATTGAGGTGAAAAGGGAATTTCCAACAGATTTATTCTGTCAAATCAAAGAAAAGAACAAGAAGTGTCAAAGAAGTAACAATGTCTGTGGGAATATGATTTAAATTACAAATGTGTCCAGCGCTAAAATAAGTTGAATAACAAAACTAAAATTTTTTGTTGACTGTGGTTTTGTCTACTTGATTAGTATCGAGGTATCTCAATAAATGAATGAATAAAGTCTCAAAGACTTCATATGCATCTTTAAAAAACATTTAGAAAACCTTTTTTTTTTTTTTTTTTTTTTTAATTTTGATACCTGTGTTTATGTTTTCTTGCTAGTAGTCTTCTTCCCCTCCTTTGCTGGCACACTGCTGCTTTTGTTGGCACATTGACAGGAATGTGTACTGCATCACCCACATGCTTTTGTACACACTTACTAATAAAAACACAACATATAGCTTTACTAGTCTTGAAAAACTCCACAGGGCACCTTTAACATTTTCCCAAGGGATGTACTGTATTTATTTTGTCCTATTAACATCAACAAGCGTTAATTATCCTCATCAATACTGAACTGTGTGTTTGTTTTCCTCTCTGTTCAGTGAACGGTGTGCCGTGGCCACAGGAACCTGGCCGAAGGAACAGCCACACCTTTAACTGTCGCATGCTGAAGAGGCCACCGGACGAGCTGGATTCAGAAAATCCGGAGGCTCGGCAGCAATATGAGATCATGCAGTGTTTCACTGTGTCCCAACCACGGACCATGCAGGAGGAGGGAGAGGGTACGTACACACACACACACACACACACACACACACACACAAGTGCACACAGTCAATAGATTGTACACATGATAAAGCCAATTAATACTGAGGATTTAAGCAAGGAAAACTTATTATATAACGTCTTTTTTCTTCTTTTTACCTATCTTTTATCTATCTATTTTATCTTTATGTCTGTAAAGACTTTTCTTACTATTATTTTAAAAAATCTAGATTAAATACAGTGTATTTAAACCACAAAAGATAGATATTCTTGTGCCAGGAGTTCATCCAGTTTAAGAAATAGTTGATACATATTCCTCATGCGGAGTTTTTCTAATCTAATTTTTTTCTTGACATGATAAACTACATGTTAGGACACACTGATTATAATAAGGTTCCAGTGCTCTACTATCAACAGCGTCCACTTTCATGATTTTCAGGGTTGTTGGTGCAGTGGCCTTGATAAAACTGTATGATTTAGTTTGCTGTTGAGCTCTGCCTGCCTTTACTCATTTTCATAAGAACTGGCCCTGGTGGATAGTAGAAATTTGCTCACACTATCCTACGGCTTTCTTTTTTTTGTCAATCTGAAGTCCAGATATCTGTTGTTTGCATCAGAATGACTGACAGCTGTCTTGGCATTTCCAGGCTTTGATTGGCTGTTATATCTTCACATTTACACTGCTTTTTTTGTATTGGTTTGTTTTGTTTTTATCAGTTCTTAATTGTTCAACGGATGCTACAATATTCATAAACTGCTACGTAAAGCAGCAGAGGGTAACAGGAGTCAGATCTCACTTATCACTTGTCGAGTTGACCGACAAAGCAATGAAGAAGGATTTACTGTCAAAGCGAAAGCAAAAGCGCTTCCTTGGCAATATTCCAAATATAAATCCAGTGCTAATGGAAAACCTGTTGAGGGAAAAGGAGTTGGTTACGTCGCCAAAAAGTCGTAGGTGTGCAGCCTGTCGCCTGCAGCTCTTCCTCCAACAGTTCACTTTATCAGCTCCTCCTTTTTGTTCCATAGCTTACCTGCAGTATTTCAGACTGATCCGCTGTGAGCAAATGCCGAAATGCCCGTTGTCTGGTTTTGTAGACACATTTTTGCATTTCCTGTGACTACTTCATATAAAAGTCAACCTGTGATTTCCCATTTAAATGTTTTCAGTGTGAAGCTGTAGCAGAATGAAATGTTCTGTCTGCATTAGCAGTAGCTTATTATACTGCTTCACAGATACTGAGCGTGATCAACGTTTTTTCTTGTGTGGTGTAATCAGTGTAATCACAAGTTCATCAAGCAGTGGAAAATTTCCTCATCGTGGCATCCCAACATCAAACCAAACTAATGATCCGATTTCTGAGTTTCGACAGGTCGTCATGTATTTTTTATCCCTGGCATGTATGGGCGCATTTAACAGAATAGTCCGGATGACTCAATTCAGTTGGGTGGGGATTGCCGAAAAATTATACACCTTCATGTGGTTCTGTTCACTTTCACACTGCACTTTTTAAAGCAGACTAAATTGCTGGATAACGTCACGCAGTTACAACAGCTGCAGTTTGGGGGCAGTATTGCCTGAAACGACCACTGACCAGGAAGAAAAAAGCATGAGGAAGAAGAAAACCATCGATTGGCCAGGACCAAAAATTGCTTCTCCCGGTTCACGTTGTTAGCTTTGTTGTTTTTTTTCTACCCAAAATGCACTGGCACGCTCTATGTCAAGTCCTCTCTTTGGTTCACTGAATGGTCCGTTTGCATTTCCCACTGTAAGCGAACTGCACCAGGGTTCACTTGCAAGTGAACCGAGACCCCCAGTTTTCAAGCCGCCCAGGATTCACTCCTTTGTTCCGCAACAGAGCCTTCACACCACTCCAAACGAACCGAACTATCCGTGGAAGCGGACCAGGGTTCGTTTATAGCGGACCAAATAGTACCAGTGTGAATGCATCCTATCCACACACACACACAAACCTCACCACTTGTGTCCTGTCTTTCCTCAGACCTGCAGAGCTGCCTGATCTGTATTGCCTGTCGGATACCTCGCACCCAGCCTTTCAGCACTGAGTCTTTCATCACCAAGCAGGACCCCACTGGTAAAACAAACACACACACACACACACACACACACACACACACACACACAGGTGCAATATAACAGTCAAAATTCCTAAAAGTCACGAAATTTATGGCATTCTGACAGCTGTACTCCACATTGGTACAGCCAGAGAAATTGATCATATATTACAGGAAAGTATCAGAAAGTATCCACATGGATACTATACTACTACATATTTAAAACACTGTGTATTTTATTATTTCATATTAATCTGATGCATGAATGTTCAGGTGGGCTGGGGAAAAAGAAAAAGGATTTAAGAGCGTTTTAGGAAATGTTCCAAGTGGAAAACAAATTTTCATGGGGGTCACAGTGTGAACCCTGAAGGTATGGAGGCTACTGCAAATGTTGAGTTCTGTGTAGACTGATCTTGTGTGTGTGTATGTGTGTGTATGTGCTGCTCTCCTCCAGGGAAGATCATCTCCATAGAAACTAGTGCTTTGCGAGCAACAGGCCGGCCTGGCTGGGAGGACCTGGTCAGGAAGTGCATCTACGCTTTCTTTCAGCCGCAGGGCAAAGAGCCCTCCCACGCCAAGAAGCTGCTGCATGAGGGTGAGTAGCCACGATTGATTTTTCAGCTTCACTCCCAGAAATCATTGATACGCTCTCTGTAAGCTTTGTCAACATTCCTGCACTACTCCCGTACCATTATGATCGATCAGACTGAATACTACATTTTAATCACTGTTTATACATACAGGAGACGTGTCGTGGAAGCATGTCGTTCTGTTGTGTATGCAGATTTATGTAGCGGTAAGTGGAATAGACAGAGCTTTAGTCAAGGGCTGCCACTATCAATGAATCGATTGATGGATTGATTTGTCCTATGAAACGTTAGGAAAGAGTAAAAATGCTCAACACAGTTTCCCAGTGTCCACTCACACTTCAGACACTGTAACCATCAAATTAATTACTTTAGTGATTAAAAGAAATATCAAAATAGTTGCTGATGGTCGATTGACTCATAGTTTAATTGACTATTGTTTGAGTTTTACTTCGAAGCAGACATATTCCTTCTGCAAAAACCAGGGACCATATCAAGACACTGTTCACTACACCATACGATTGATCTTTGTCTTCCTTGAAGTCTAAAACCCACCAGCTGAACTTCAGCTGATATCAAAATCCTGTGTTCTAAACTTGTTGTTTTTACATGTTGTACATCTTGTCAGATGTAGTCTGACTCACAGGATATAGACTGCTGGTATACACCTGCCATTTGCTGCCTATTTTTGACGCAATTCTCCTCCTAATGTCCACACTTAGTTTAAGCACTGCGAAACAACAACAACCTGTGAGCTAGCAACCCACACTCTAAAAAGGTTTTTTAATGATTTATGTAGTGTTTTCTTTTGCGGGGCTTTAGCCATTTTAATACCTCCTAATGTGCAAATATTCCAACAAAACTAGTTCCCTCCCAATGCGGTTTTGCAAGAGAGTAGTTACTGCATCCTGAGATTAGCGCTGCCCAAGAAGATTGTGATTGGTTTAAAGAAATACAAACAACAAAAAGCATGCACAAGCTACAGCAGACAGTGACCCTGGCATTGGTCTTTTTAATTCATATTACCATGAACAGTAAAAGCTTTTTAATTTTTGCGCATACCCTACAGTGTGCCTTTGATAGTTTTGAAGGAGATTTGCATTTTGTATTTTTCGATTGAGCGTATACTTTACTCATGCAACGAGCCCTCTGCAAAATGGAATCAACACAGAATTCATTTTCACATAGTGTGGAGTTATACTGGGTTCAGTGAGACCTTTCTCTAGCGCAAAGGTCTGGCTGTGCGAGATTATGGATCCAGCAAATCTAAACCAAAGTTCACCAAAGTGGTAGAGCATTGATGACCTTCTTTTCCAACACATTTCTTGTCTCTGTCTGTTGCTGGAAGAATTAGCTTTCCCTCATCTACAGTAGGTCATGATGAGCAGTTTCAAGTGCTAATCTTCTTTTTATTACTCCACGTTACAAGATTGTGAGCGAATAACAACATGTTTACCATGTATAAAATAAGCACATGCAGTTAAAAGGATAAAGGGACAGATCAGTGTTGTATTATCCCAATACTTAAATCACTCGCAGCTGCTGCAACTCCTTGATGCAGCAGTATCATTTAGGCCTTCGGGTGGTCAGAGCTCTTAAAGCCTGGATACATCAGAAAACAAACAAGACATGAGACCAAAGTCTAAACCCTGTGTTTGCCTCTTTCTCTTGCCCTGTGTGTGTTGATATCTCCATTAGTGATGACCCACGGCACCGCCATCAGCCCGTTGTACCATTTCACATTAAGTGATGGCACCCCGCTCAGCGCTCAGACCCGCTGCAAGTTCTGCTGCCCCCCCAACCCTGACGTACAGCCCTTCATTATGGGCATTCACACTATTGACAGGTATGGTCCTCTTTTTTTCCAGGACTTTTTGTTCAGCCTCTTGTTTTCTTGAGTTAACACCTTGTGTGTTCCTCCGTCTCTCCAGGGAACACAACACTGCTAGCTCTCAGGAAAACACTAACCCCAGCCTTCCACCGACCCTCGGCAGCCTTGCCCAAACTCCCTCCCGCTCCCCTTCCCTTCCTCCCGGCAGCAACTGGACCCAAGGCTCAGGCCTCGCCTCCTCGGGCCTTCATCCCAACAACACCAACACCTCCCCCCACGGACATAATCCAGCCACACCCACAGGCTACCTGACGCCCAATCGGACCTGTCCCCAGCAGGTCAACAGCCCCTCTCCTTTGAGCAGCCCACTCACAGCCACCCCTACCTCTTTTATGTCGCCCAGGATGCCACGGGCCAGTCCTGGGTTAGGGGGAAGTCCTCGGGTACCGGGGAACCCTTTCTCTCCTTCCACACCAGGCCTCCACTCCCCAGCTGGGGAACTAAGTAGTGGAGGCAGCCTCAACAGGCAGCAGTCCAGCGGCGATGGTAGTAGTGGCGCCAGCAGTGGGTCAACGGGGTCCTTCTCCCTGTCCTCTCCTGTCCTTCAGAGACAAGCCAGTACACCCACCGGCTCCTCTACTCGGCCTCCATCTGCAAAAGAGGGAGAAGGAGGGGGAGAGGACTCTGGTAAAGCCCCCCTTCCTTCTGCCTCCCAGCTGGGTAACCCCAGACTCAATCAACTCCTGGATAGCAATGGGACGGGAGCTGAATCCAACAACAGAATCCACTGCACCTCATCACCTCATCCTCCGAACCCTCCTCCCGCCCCTCAGTGCCCTGCCTCACACAGTACTCTAACGGAACGACACAAGATTCTGCACCGGCTGCTGCAGGACACCAGTCCCAATGACACCTCCACCACCAGTGAGGAAGGACTAAACAAAAATGACATTGAGATCAAGAAGGAGCCGCCTGCCAGTCCGGCTCTGACTGCAGCACCTCCAAAGTCCGGCTCCGGCTCCAGCTCCAGAGAGCCACAGGACCACCAACTACTCCGATTTCTCCTGGACACAGATGAAAAGGTGACGATTCAGTATGCCCCTTACATTTTATTATTTTCTTTGCATTCCATTTGTGTGTACTTATTTTCTAAATGATCTGAAATGAGATATTGGACGAGAAAATACCATTTGTTTCGATGTAGTTTGATGTTACGTGACATAACTAGTCTCGTCCATAAAGCCTAGCCGGTTTGCATCTCTCCTCTCTCGGCGCAACCCCGCCCCTACACGCTTGTTTTCCTGCTGTACGGTGCAACGTTGGCCTATATATCATAGAAAATTACGTTTTAAACTCCCTCAACTCAAAGTTAAAATACTCTCAAACTAAAATGGACATGCGTGATACTTTTATACTACCATTTTGTGTCCTTTGCTACAAAACTTTTAACTTCTTCAGCACCAGTGCAATGTGCAAAAGAAGTTAACACACAGCCCTGCTATTTATTTTAGCTGTATCATTTTTCATTTACATGTTTTTCAGCTGTATATTTTTGAACAGGAAAGAAAACCCCGGCTTTTGCAATTAATTTAAGATCAGTCTGTTGTAATGAAAATGCTTGTTACCTCTAACATATGGCTCTGACTTTCTACTGAACATTTTTCCCGCTTATACCCAGGTATACATATATTGTGTATTGCTATTCACCCTACAATTACAGAGCTATGAAGTAAATACATGTATAAATTTTGTTAGCCTTGATCAATGTGAATGCAAATATGTAGATCCCTAATAAATTACACATCAGCATTTTAGTCTGCCCTGTAAACTCCACATTATTTGTCCTCTTGAGTCATGACGCCTGGAAAAAACACTAACGGAAACATACTTTGTCTCTGAAGGACCTGGGGGACCTGCCACCTCCATCTGCTCTCAGCCTGCAGACGGTTAGAGTAAAAGTGGAGAAGAGAGCCAGCGTGGATGGAGTGCCGTGTTCGGGGTCTGCCGCTGCAGCAGGAGGTGCATCCAAACCTGCGGGAGTTTGCAGCAGCTCGGCGTGCATCAGCCCAAAACCGAGCCCCATCGGAGAGAACCGTCGAGACAGCCGCAGAGACAGCCGAGACTCCACGGTACAGTTGTTAATGATGTTGTGATATGTATTAACGTCAACTAGCTCAGAGATTTCACCTCCAAAGAATTTTCCTGGTAGAGTGTTTTTGTGTTGGCATTGAGGAAGTTTAGAGAACAGAAAATGCATTGACTCATCAGATATGCATCGGTTTGTTTTGTCTGCAGATAAGTCACGATATTGTTGTACAGAAGACTATCTTTGAGCTCATTTTGAAGCAGTTTCACCTTTGTCAAGTTTATTTTTCAACTGTAAAATGTTCTGCTCAGTACATATCCTGGTCATAATTATTGAAAAGACATTTAAAGGCCTTGCTCACCCCTGGTAAAACCTCACATTAGTCCTCATCTCAGTGAGTACGGACTGTGTGATTAGCAGAGGGTTGATCAACCAAAAATAGCAGAAAACACCAGTTAGGATGTGCAGGATCTTTATGGGATCTTTACAAACCCTCAGATTTTTTTTAACAAACCAGATTGAACATGTATTCAGCAGTGGTATTTGTGGTAAACCTGACTTTTAAATACCAGCAGCTGGCGCAGGCTACACTGGACTCAATCCAGCTACCTGATCAGACTGTCATGACATCCAAATCATAACTCTACTGAGCTAATGATTTAAATGTACGTCCTCCTTGTTAGTAAGGACACTTCACAATTAAGTGCTGGAATTTTCCTCTCTTGAGCTTTGCTCCTGCATTGGCAGTTGCCTGACAGCCATTGTAAATCATGTTGAATGTTTATTTTCTTGGACTTTGTCTCCACTGTAGGCTCAGCTACCAGCTGCAGCCTTTGAAGCTCACTGGCCTTTGACCTTTTGTCTCTCCCCATCTCTCCGTCACTGATTGTCTGTCACCGTCTTTTTCTGCCACCCATTATTCTTTAATTTTTCACTCTTTCATGCCACTGCACCATCCATTCATTCTTCCACCCTGCCTTTTTTTCCGCCCTTTTCATTTGTTTCTCCTCTGCTCTCCATTTCCTGCCCTCAGATGTCTGGTGGCCCTGTTGACATGGACCCTCTCACCCAGCTGCTGCCTGGCCTGAGAGGCCCGAGTGGGGCCAAGCAGGGCAGCGAGGATTCATCCACCCCTGGAGGAGGCCCCCAGCTCCACTCTCCAGCCCCTCAGCCCCCAGCTCAGCTCCAGTCCCCCTTGCCTCAGCTCCAGTCCCCTCTGTCCCAGCCCCAGTCGCTTCCCCAGTTGCAGTCTCCGTCGCCCCAGCTCCACTCCCCTTCCCCCCAGCTCAAACTGCAGTCACCCACTCAGCTCCAGCCCGGTGAGGCCAGCACTCCCCGCAATGTAAATGTGAAGAGAGAGCCTCCAGGCACTCCCAACAGAGGTAGAGTTACAGCTTAGCAGGAGGGGCGGGTCGTGTAGACATGTGCTACCTACATACAACCTGTAGACACTGTTGTTTTTGAGTGCTGTATCAATATTTAATTCAAATGGCTGTTTGTTGAAAGAGAAATATATGTTTTTGTTTTTCAAGAAATCGAAAAATTACAAAATAGTGTTTTTCTTTGAATTTTTTATAATAATTTTATTGGATTCTATATTATTCTTCTTTTTCTATTACTATTATTACTATTATTATTATTATCATTATTATTATTATTATTATTACTATTACATCAGTAGTAGTTTCCAGTGTAGTACTATGATCCTGAGCTCTCTATTTATTCATTCATTCATTTACCCACACATTAGTTAGTCCGTGCGCCCCCTGCTGGCTATAAGAAGGCATTGCAGCATCAACAGACAAATCATGCATACATCCACAGCAGTGCAGAATGTCTTATGTCTATAAAAGTTTGAGTATCAGTACTATACAACAAAGGTTTGTGCAGTTGTTTTTTATTTGTTTCTTCTTGTTTTCTATGTCTGCTTGTGTTTTTCCCCCAGGACTCAGTGATGGCGGCCCGCCCTCCGGCTGCAGCCTCCAGAGTCAGTCATCCTTTGACTTCTGCAGCCCCCCGACTCCAAGCCAGACACAGACCCAGGGCCAAGGAGACCCCTTCCAGAACCCGAAAGACAGCAGCCCCTTTCCAGAGGCAGAAATTATCAACCCATTCAGTTCAAGCACTGGTATGCAAGAAAAAGTAATACACACGCTTTTAAAGGTCGCATTTGGAAAATGACCACTGTGGGAACCCTGCCTGTAGTAACTCGACACTAAGTCTTCTGTAGTGGTAAAGCATTGTTGAGCTGACCTCTAAAGGTTGAGAATTTCGGTGCTCCTACAGAAATGACCACACTCACTGTCATGGGGTGTGGTCAGACTGGATTCTGTTACATATTTGACCACACAGGTGATATAGCTTTGCACTTTACTGTAGAAGAGAGCAGCTCGATGCTACATCACTAAAACAAGGTGAAACTTTGGCAGCAACAGTAGGATTTTGTGTGTGCTTCATAAGTGCTGTATACTATCTATTCATGTAATCAAGTTGTTGAATCCGATTATTGTGAGTCCAAGTTTAGTATTAATATATATAATATTTAATTACAATAAAACTGTGTTAAAATCTGTTTCAGGCCTGTCCAAGATGGATGTGGGAGAATCCCAGTTCCAGCCTCTGGCTCTGTCTGACACCTTGTCCTTCGATGGTCTTGGAACCCCTTTACAAGCTCCCTTGGCATCACCACAAGAGTAAGTATCGCTGTACTCACAATCATTTTCTATTGTGAAGTTGTGGGGGAGGAATGGCAAAATAAAAAGCTGATGTAACCCACTAACACTCCCGTGTAGAGCAGATGATGATGTGCAGTGTTTCTCTGTGTGAGCAGGCAGTGTGTGCCCTGTACGCTGGATGAAGTGCTGGGCCCTCCGACAACCCCCGAGGGCCGAAACGATGAGAAAGCTCTGTTAGAGCAGCTCGTCTCCTTCCTGAGTGGGACTGATGAGAGTGAACTGGCTGAGCTGGATAAGGCCCTGGGTATCGACAAACTGGTGCAGGTATGTGTGTGATTAAAGACTGTGAGAGCTTGGCAGTGGATGTGCAGAGGTATACAGAGTGTAGTGGGCATATGTGCCGTTAGGAAAGGCTCTACATCGGAGGTTCTTTTTTCCAGTCAAGGTTTGAACATGTTAAACATCCATGTTTTTAAAAAAAAAAAAAAAAAAGAGGAAAGAAACTCATGATTAATGTCTCTATTTTTGCCCGTCTCTTCCAGGGTGGCTGTTTTGACCCCTTGCCTCAAAACTTCCCGACCCAGCAACCCACTGCCACCCCAGGTTCCATGGACCCTAAACTCCCCACCTACCCTTCCCAATTCACACCAGCTCCACAAGCTCAGTTTCCTCCAGAGCTGGCCACGGTGGTGGGGCCACAGGGCCTGGGGTTCGGAGCCCCCCGAGTGGCTTTTCCCGGCAGCACGGCGGGCGTCGGGCTGAGGCCGGGCATGACGCGACCGCAGGGGATCGGCACTCAGCTCAGGCTGCCACCCAATCAGCTGCGCCTGCAGCTGCAGCAGAGGCTGCAGGGCCCACAGCAGGTGAGGACGCAGAGGTGGACGTTTATCTTTGTTTTGTATCATCAGGATTATGTTCAGGGTGAGTTATTTCTACCCATTGTGTTTAATGTGTACAGTCACAAGTGTTGGGTGAGACATATGTCCTGTATGTAATTTATTCACACCATGCAAGGGTTGCTAACACAACAGCAATAAGCTGAAAGTGAAAGGAAGAAACACCTTTGAGTTATTTTCACACTTGCTGTGCTCACACACTTTACTCATTGCTGCTGAATGTGGAAGACAAATGCTGAGAGGTGTAATGAAGCTTTCTGTGTTTGTCTGAATCCATATCATAACGAGTCTTTTGATTCATTTCCGAATATTGATTGAAATGCTTTGAGTAAGAGCTCTCCACTTCCCTCTCCTCCCTCATCACCAATATACTACTCATCTCCTTTCTCCTTCCCTCTCATTATATTTTTTCTGCTTCCGTTAATGATGTGATTTATTGTTTCCATCATGTTTGTATCTCCCTTCTCATCCTTAAACACCTCACTGACCTCTTCTTATTTTTCTCTCTCCTTCTGCGTCTCAGCTCCAGAACAGGATGGCAGGCATGAATCCGTTTCCTGGAGGAGCCCAGCATGTGAACATCGGGATTCGTCAGGGGGTCCAACAACCTCAGATGCCCTCTCAGGTGAGTCACAGTAGCAGCGAGTGAAGCTTGGCACACCCCCGACCACCCACTGCTGTTTTGCTACGGAGGTGGAAACATTCAAAATAATTAGTTTACATCAGTTCAACCACGCCAAGCTGCTGTAATCAATACTTTTATATTTACAATGGATCAAATAACTATGTGCGGGGTTGCTCATAGATAATTATCAGCTCTCTCCTCGCAGCTCCACAAAGCATTTCATTATCTCGTAGCTTGTTTTGGTTCCACAGCCTGCAATTCTGTTGTTATGGTTCACCACTGTCATGTGCGTCATTTCCAGCAGCAGTTTTTCAGCAACGAAAGCTTTAGGTTAGCGAGTAGCTGCTGAACAGAGTGGAGCATTAAGCAGCTAAAGAGACAGATATTTTCTTCAGGAGTTGAATGAGACTGAACCTGAGCTAAGACAGTGAATACTGGCTATCAGGTGGTGAGAATACCCCCCAAAAATCTGATCTAGTCCTTCAAATAAATACACATGTATTCTTCCTTTGCACAGAATTCTTAAAAGTACTAGAGAAGGCAGAAGAAATAGGAGAGGACACACTTTGAAAACATGGCATGGCAACATAAATCATTTGGAACTCATGTTAAGCTTGACACAAAGGTATCATGTAAGGAACTGTGGTAGCAGGTGGGTGGGTTGGCACATATATTATCCTTTTTACTGTGATTTCCTAATTGGTCTTACATTGAACTGAAGTCAAAATCAGGCTTTCTGAAGCCTGCAGATACTCTGTATGAGCGACCTCTTTGAATAATGAGCTCAATAGTCTAGGGATGTAACGATATGGAAAATTTGATATCTCGATTATAGTAACCAAATTATCACGTTAAACGATAATATCGCAATATTTTTTTAAGCGATGTAAAATGTCCAAAAAATAGATATATTGAAATAACTTCACTAAATCTTGTAACTTCCTTATCATACTAAAATGTTAACAGCCAAAATCTTATATTAAAATGAAACTTTCACATTAAAGGGGCAAGGGATTGGCACAGCAACAGAAAATTTTATTTTAAATGAACAAAATATGTAAACAAATTACAGGAACAAAGCTTATTTGTCTGGTGCATTTTGACAGTCAGTAAAATATGTAAACAATTTATATATAATTTATTTATTAGCATGAGAGGAAAAATATATATAAAACAAAACAATGCAAGAGTAGAACAAAAAACATACAATATATAGAATAGATATCACAAATGTGCAGGAGAAACCAAAAAAACCCTAAGGGCAATGGTCATCATTACACAGAATAATTCACACATTAGAAGTGTGCATGTGAGAGGAGTGCCTGTATGAGAAAAGGAGTGCATGTTCTCGTGTGTGTGTGTGTGTGTGTGTGTGTGTTAGGTCAAGACTGTGAGTAGTGAATTTAATTAACCTTATAAAACTAAGAGCCCCCATTAAGGCTCTTGGTCAAAGGTTAACACGGCAGCGTTTTATGTTGTTTCCTTGGGCTTATGTCAAGAAAGCATAACTGGCCATCTGTATCGATTCTAGCTCGCCATACAATAACCATAATCACAGTGATTCAATCATAGTTGATCTCAATTAGCGTTACGTTACGTCAGTTTATATTCTGTCGGCTCCGCTCAGTGTTTTCAGCTCCATTTCGTTTTGAAACACTTAGCAACATAGCTGCTAATACGGCTATTAGCTACTCAGCTAGTATTAGCTCCTAAGTGTCTTAAACAAAACCGGAAAACCTAGTCGCCGTTTAGGAGGACAGATACGGCTCAAATGTCCCGTATAACGTTACGTCGAGAGTTACACATTATGACAATCTTAGTAAAACCAAAGTCCCTCACGCAATAACTGATGTTTGCATAGCATAACTTGCACTGGCTGTAAAGCTGTGGATGACGTTCACGGAGATGAGCCAGCAGATTTGTAGTGTTGCTACCCTTCGCAGCAACTTTCTTTCTGCATGTTCTGCACACAGGATAGTTGTCCTCCACCAGCTGTCCCTCGGCAATCTTCAGAAACCCAAAGTACGCCCAGACCTCAGACTTTGTGCGTTTAGTTGGGGGGAAAATGTCCTGAGTGCCGTGATCACCACCTTCCGCCATGTTTTCATTCTTTGTGTTTACACATGCTACGCATTCACGCAGCGCCTGCATCGCGAGACTTGAATGAGGCTGTTATTACATATCCTGATAATCCACCGCGATAATGCAATTAATTTAAACATAAATGGTCATTCTTACAGTGTAAAAATTAACCGAGATTTACCATAATATCGGTAATTGTTACATCCCTACAATAGTCTGGTTACTTTCATAAGTTCTCTGTAACATTGTCTCTTACATCACATCTATCAGCAGCCTCCGCTGAATGCCCAGATGCTGGCCCAGCGTCAGAGGGAACTCTACAGCATCCAGCACCGCCAGCGCCAGCTTTTCCAGCAGAAGGTCATGCTGATGAGACAGAACATGGCGGGCGCTCCGACTGGAGCCGTGGGGCCCATCGGAACTGCCAGGGTCCCGAAAGGTCCCCCAACAACGCCTCAACAGCAGCAGCAGCAGCAACAGCAGCAGCAGTTCAACTTCCCACCAGGGTACAACCCGTTGACGGGAAAATCCCCTACCTCACCAAGTCACTTCAGCCCCATGACCGGGGGCCCCCTGGACAACAAGCTGCCCGGCAGAGTTCCCCTGAATAACCAGACGCTGTTGGGCGGCGTGCAGGGCCAGTTCAGCAGCACCGTGAACTCCTCATTGCAGCAGGGCCTGTTTCAGCAGTTTGGAGGGTCTGGTGAGTTCAAGGAAACACAGCAGTCGTAATCCAAGACATTTTCATATCAAGCAAATGTTTCTTTTGCTCCTCTTTACCGAAGATAGAGAGAAATTCTCTAAAGTTATTTGTATTAACTGACCCAACTTTTGCTCTTTTCCTCTTTCAAAGCCATCACCCAGCCAGACCCATCTTTCCCTCCTGAGATGAGCCCGACCAGCCCATTGTTGTCACCTCAGAACTCCACCTCCCAGAGTCCTCTGCTTCAGCAAGCCCCACCCCCTGGCTACCAGTCACCAGAAATGAAGAGCTGGCAACAGACAGGCATGGGCAGCAACAGGTTAGGAAGTGCTCACAGTTAGGCCTATTCAGACTTTACATCTGGAAAAATAGCTTCATACATTTGATGGTTATTAATGTGCTGTCTTCTCTGATTGTCTCTGTGCACCACAGCCTGTTTAGTCAGTCAGGACAGAGTGCAGGGCAGGCTTTTGGCCAGCAGGGGGTTTACAACAATATGAGCATCACCGTCTCCATGGCCGGGGGCTCGGGTGGTGTCGGCTCATTACCTCCCATGGGGCAGCCGGTTGGCATGAGCAACAGTAACCTCAGCAACGTTGGTTCAGTGTGCAGCGACCAGCAGGTTGGTGGCATTTTTTAAAGATAATTTCCTATGGCTGTTGCCTTTATTGAACAGGACAGTATTAAGTAAGAAAGGGGGGATGACATGCAGCAAAGGGTCATAGGCTGGTGTCAAACCTGTGGCCGCAACAGCAAGGTGTTTTCCTTTGAACATGGGACGCCCGCTCTACCCACTGAGCTCCTGGGTGCCACAGGTTAATGACATTTATAACCTTCAGGATCTCTGTTCTGATGCATTTGCTGTCTCAATTGCTCCATTTATTCATCCACTCACTTCCCACCACCCGACTTTGTGGGGGCAGTTTTAAGTTTATAAAATGTAAGTACAGTTCACCATTTATTATATCCCTCTACCCTGGTAAGCAGCATGTTGGAAGTGACGTCACCATGGCGGCATCTGTTGCTTGTTTGTTTTAAATCCATGGAAAGAAAATCATGCGTAATGTGGGGTGTTTAATACAGGATTTTATTATGCAAAAGGATAGCTGTTACACCTACAACTAACTATGTGTAATCTACACATGAAAAATGAAAAAAGAAATATGAATCTTGGAAATCTGAAGATACCCAGTCTCAAATTAAACAACGGTATGTGTAAAACCCCAGTTACATGTACAACAGCATAAAGACTAGAGCTTAATCCACTGGCATGGCCTATGTTATTGGCATATGACAGATATATCAGTATCTGTGTTTATATCAGCTGATGAGTAAATTGCAGTTCAGACATTCTGGTTTTAACATCATATCTGAGGTTAATTGGAAACCTTAGGTTACTTGAGTAACCCCGGTTCTCAGAGTAGCATGAATGAGAACAGTGTTCAGCAGATACCACTGACATGTTTTAGCTATAAAATGTCCTGCTCAGTACATACCCCTCTATACCAGCAGATGATGGTCATCTATAAGTCATTCAAAAAGGGAAACTGGAAGATCTTCTTGATGCTAGTTAGCCAGTTAGCACCCAAACAACACAATTCAACACTGAAGAACAGAGCATATCAACCGTGCACCAGTGAACAACAATGACTAAAGAAAAATAACCTCATTTAACAAGTTTGTTTCGACATCACTCCCTCCTGGCTTTAAATCTTTGTTTACTTTCCTCACTTCCATTTCTCTTCTCATGCGCTGAGCTGAGCTGACAATTAAAATGGTTTCATTCACCAGCGGGCTCTGCTGTCGCCAATGCCGATTCAACATGCTGAATCGATGGGGACAAAACCATATGTGAGACACATTAACTGAAAACAGTGGCAGATGCTCACCAATGGCCCAACTTTGGCTGACGGCCGACCGTCAGCTTGGTATGACAGGAAAATTATGTTAAATGATCATCTTACCAGGTGATTCAATCAAATAGTTAGGGATGTCAACGGTTATGCTTGTCAGCTACTTATCAGTTTATTGCACTGTGCACCAGCCGTGCCTGATGCAAGCTACGTAGTGGCACCGCTAATTCGGCATTTACAGCTAGTAACGCCGTTCTTACCCAACAGCATTGTTGTGGAAATATTGCACCCACCCTCTGGTCTCCCCCCAGCTCCCCCGGTGAGTAAGCAGCTTATTTTTGAGCTGCAGACCCCTTTAGCATTGTTAACCATGTTATTATGTTTCTGTAGGTGCAGCAGGTTCAGGTGTTTGCAGACGTCCAGTGCACAGTGAACCTGGTTGGCAGTGACTCCTACCTGAACCAGGGCTCCATCGGAGCCACGGCCTCCCAGAAGGGCCCCGGACCGCAGGGCTCCCAGAACAACCAGGCCCAGCAGAAGAGCCTCCTCCAGCAGCTGCTCACCGAGTGACAACCCACAACCCCGTTCAGCTATTCTATACTCCCTCTACTTCTCACTTCTACGCCTCCTCCTCGGAGGTCGGTGCACCAGACCCATTGCTGTCTCTGTCTCACCTTTTGGATGGATGGATGGATGGATGGATGTTTGGACGACCACACGAGTAGGCTCGGAGGGGTTTGGCTGCTGGTGGAGTTACACAGCCTGCCCATGTCTGTGCGGAGGGGATTCAGGGCTGGTTGTCTTACCGCCCAGTACTTTAAGAAAAGACTCAAGTCAGAAGGAGCAGCAGTGTATTTAAACCTGCCTGTCTAATCTGTCTGACAACCTGTCTGTCTGCCTCAGCCTATTAAAGGCAGTGTTGTCTTGCTGCTCATTCCTTGGTGACCTACTTCCTGCTTCCTGACCCAAGAAAACAACTGCGACATCATTGTAGATTTGCCAAGTTGTCGTCACTGTCAAATCAGGGCCGGCCTCTTTTTTTTTCTCTCTCTCTCTCTCTCTCTCTCTCTCTCTCTCTCTTTCGTTTTTTTTGTTTTGTGATGGGATGGTTTCTGTCAGGCCGTCGCAGCAGCAGCAGTGCATCTTGGGAGCATGAGTTGCAGCATACAGCTGAGCTCATCGTTTAAAGTGTGGGAGTATCCCACACAGCAGTACCTCTGGCTTTTTATTTTTGTTTGTTTTATTTTGTTTCTTTTTGTTTTTTCCTCTACCTGTCTCTCAGCGATGTGGGAATGTTAAGGTTTCAGACCTCTGTGGCATTGTGGGATAGAAGCTCAGTATCAGCTGGTTCTGTGACTGTCTCTCTCTATCAGCTACAGTGCCTGGTGGAAGTTTGAGTTTTTCCCAAGCTCTGCTTCTTCTTCTACATATTATTCTATTACGTCTTCTTGTTTTTATTTTTATTTTTTGGGTTGAATTGTTTTGTTTAAAAAAAAAATCTTCTGCTCTCACCGTCGTCATCGTCATCATCATCTTCACGATCATCAGAACAAGCTTTGACAACAGCCAGAATGGATTGACAGATGGATGGATGGATGGATGTATGGATGTATGGATGGATGGATGGATGGGAGACAGACGGGATGCTGCTCAGTTTGGAACTTACGTGTCTTTCTCCCCCCCCACCCCCCACCCCCCCGGGAGGAGGTTTTATTTTTATTTTTCTCAAAGTATAAAAAAGAGACTGTTATGATTATTTAACTGTCTGTCCGTCACATTTTACCCCTCACCTCAGCAGCTGTGAATACAGAGCCCTGTTGGGTTCTTTCTTTCTCTCTTTCTCTCACTCTCTGTGTATCTTTCATGCTATCTCTCGGCCTATCAGTGTTGTTTGCCATGTGCACCATGCAGGCGGGTAGTATTGTACAGTACAGAAGGACAAAGACTTGGGGGTGAGCTCACTCTTCTCTTGTAACTGCTTTCCTCTAAAAAAGAAAAAAAGTGTAATTAATTGATTACTCAGAACAGCAAAACTATGTATAATGTGATTCGATCCAGGTTTTTATTTTTTTAAATTCTAATAATGTCAGCTCATGGTTTTTGAGATTATTTTTTGGCATCATGATATTGTAACACTGCTACATATTGCAGTGGAGGAGGAAGTTATTCCATCTTCTGAAATGTGAAAAGAAAATTTTAAAAGCAATTGATTATGAAACATAGCTAGAATCTACGCTCCCTTCGACATCTCATCCAGTGCTACAAGAAGCCACGAAACTTTCCGAAGAATATAAAAAAAACAGGGTTGGATTGCTTTGCTTTCTCTTGTGGTAACCAGGGAGCTAATTAGCCATCTTCTCTTGCTTTCTCCTCTTTTTTTATTCTTATGTATGTACAATACTTTGGAGAAAACTTCTCACACAGTACATGTGTTTGCAACCATTGTATAAAAAAAAGCATAATGATACCTTAAGCTGCGTTCTTTGCTGTGATTACGTGACCTCTGGTGATGCTAACGGTACTGAGCCGCATTGACGTTGCGCCCGTCGTCACAGCAAAAACAGCGCGCTTTCTGGATATTGTTCCTATATAATGACATTTAAGTAGAGGCTTTAGTAATAGAAGTTCCTAACAAAGATGTGATGGATAATTCATTTAAAGCTGTCATGAAATTGAATCAAAACAGGATGGGTTGAGTCACCAAAAAAAAAAGAGGTATTATTTTCTTCTGCAAAACCTGTTTTATCAGTGTTCTTTTGTTTTTGGGGATTCAACCCTCTCCTCCCTCCACCTCTGGTTCCCTGATGAAGACTTCACTCCACTGGCTAAACACACATGCAGTTTTCTGTCGACTACTGTTGCTCAGTCAGACACTGTCTCTCTCAGCGATAACAGACCTCTGTTAACTAAAAAAATGTGCTACTTATAGTACACACTCTACCAGGAAGTTAGAAAAAGGAAAAACCCTGCCGAGACATTGCCTCTAAATATTCTTTACATGACTCAATTAATGTAAAGATGTCGGGTGTAAGAAATACCTGACACACTATACCCAAAGGTTTGAAGTGTAGGATGCTATAAGGACTGACGTCACACATGTTTTGTATCAGTTTCTCTAAGGGATGTTTTGAATCTTTTGAAGTGAGGCTGTATGAGGTACCTATCCTTAGTTAGTGTATTGCCTATGGTAGACGTCAGCCAGCGCGCCCCCACTTTGGAGAAGCAGGCAGGAGTACCGCCACAGTGATGGTAGTGTCAACAGCCGGAATCAAGACAGTTTATTTGCCCCAATTCTGAGGCATTGTTTATCCTGAGTCTCAGCCAAGTCAGGCAACCAGGTGCAGCCCAACTTATGTTTTTTCAGCATACCAAGTTTGGGCCGATGCTGGGCTAAGTCATTTTTGGTTCCAGTGACAGCAATGTTGGCAGCCGGAATCAGGCCAGGTTATTTGGCTTGATTCTGGGGCTTGATTCATCCTGAGTCTCAGCCTAGGATAGACACCGGAAGCGGCCCAACTTATTTCTTTCAGTTGGACAAGTTTGGATCCATGCTGGGCCAAATCATTTTTGACAACGGCCTGGTCACAGCAGTGTTGGCAGCCGGAATCAGGACAGTTTATTTGCCCCGATTCTGAGCCGTCATTCATCCCAAATCTCAGGCAAGTCGGTGCGCCGTTTGGGTCGATGCTGGGCCAAGTTATTTTTGATGACAGCCTAGTGACAGCAGTTTTGGCAGCCGGGATCAGGCCAGGTTATTTGGCTGTCATTCTGGGACATCGGGAATGTCATTCATCCCGAGTCTCAGCCAAGTCGGGCAACTGGGTGTGGCCCAACGTATTTCTTTCAGCGTGCCGAGTTTGGGCCGATGCTGGGCCAATTCATTTTTGATAACGGCCCAGTGATGGCAGTGTCAGCAGCTGAATTTGTGACAGTTTTTTGGCCTGATCCTGGGGCGTCATTCACCCCAAGTCTCAGCAATACAACAGCTTCAGTTCCCTGTCTGAAAGGGCTGTCTGCGTCACAGTAAAGTGGTGAAAATATGACTTTTTTATTTAACTTTCTATAACTAAAATGTGTTTGGTTGCTGCTCCAGTCAACAGCAGTTCTTTGCTTAGCTTCCATGGCGGAACTCTTGAAGCTCCTCCAAGCACTAAGCATGCCGACTGACATCTATTTTATTTAATATTATGGATTATGGTTAAGTACCTCATAGAACCCCACTTCAAAAAATCGAAACCATCCCTTTAAGGCCTTTTTACACAGGAGTAATTTTATCAGGGAGCATCCAGTGATCTGTACCAACCACAAAGGTCCTCTTCTGTCAAATCTGCCACGTTTCTACTCCAGCACAACATCAGACGTTCCCTGATCGAACTACTCCTGTGTGATTCCTCGTTCTTGGTTCATTGTTTCTCTCTTCCTTGTGTCGTGGAAACTTGGGGACAGTAGTGGAATCTGTGGAGAGGGTTTGTTTTTGTTTTTGTTTGCACACAGCGTAGACCTCACATCCCGATATTAGTTTCATCACCCCTCTGTAAATGCAACTACCTAACTCATCACTCAAATTAGGTCAACAACATTACAGTCCACTTCAGTGGAATAGGGCTTTCCTGTGTACTGTTTTTATTTTTACAGAGATACTTTTACCGTATGCAACAGATACAGAGGGATAGTATGCAAGGTCAACATTCCACCCACCAACTCTTCGATGTTGTATGATGTGAGAACCACTTTGTGCTCTGCTGAAAAGCTGTGTGTGTGTATTTGTACGTGTTTATGTACAGATCCAAACAGAGGCTCAGGAACAGTCGTTAATCTTTCTTAATAACTTTAAGTCCTAAATGCAGGAAAGTTTTCCTCCTGGACTCAAAACAGAATTTTCAAAAATGATTTACCAATGGGTTTCTATTTTTTCTACTTCTACATTTCTGTGTGTGTATTTATTACAAACCATCCATAGAGCGTGTCTTTATTACCTCGTTGTTTTATCAGAGAGAAATTCTGTCTTATATTCTTTACTTTTGACCATGTTTTCACACTGCGAGCAGCTTGTTTGATCAGAAAAACCCTGCAAATGTTTCTGCTTTATCTGTTTAACATTTGGCAGTATAACATGGTTTTGATTCAACGATGCTGGCTATCAAGCACTTCTTAAATTGAGAATGAGAGAAATTAACAACGGGAGAAATTTTAACAGGAGAAGCTGGAATATGAATGTTGGTCCTTTTTGATGAATAATAATAATACTGATCATAGATTTTATTTTTATAGCACCTTTCATACAAGAAATGCAGCACAATGTGCTTTAAAAGAAGGCCAGTATAAGCACTGAGTGCTTCCCCATGAAAATAGAATGAACACAAAACAGAGTCTCTTCATAAAATCATGGAGTTGTAAAACTATGAATGATAAAATCGAGTAAGATTTTAAAACGGTTGCAGCAGGGTGACGCGTACATGGAAAGTAAAAGTGTAAAAGAAAGAGTTTCAGACCTGTATTAGGAATATCAGAGCTAGTTAAAGGTTAAAGTGAACAAATGCGTTTATAGATTTCTTTTAAGAATTTTTAGCGAGCTAGCTCCCCTGATATCCATAAGTAGTGTTCATAGCTTTGGGCCGTCATTGACAAAGGCTGCATCCCAATCGTCTTCCTTAATAACTAAACTTAAACAATCAAAATTTGGACACCAATGCAGTAGTAAACTGAATCCTACCTGCAATTTACTTCATTAAAGGACCCATATTGTCACTTTTTAGACAAGATTCGATTCCACTTTTGGTCTCTGATGATCAGCAGTTGTACTTCCCTTTAAGGAGTTGGAGAGGGACTCAGAAAGCAAAGCAAGGACAGAGTTTCGAAAAACAACAGTCAGTAGAGTCTGAGGCTTTTGATTGCCTGCACTTAGATTAATGTCCATTTTAGCACTTAGTAGGGCAGTGTTCTCAATCGTTTCATGTCGAGGACCCCTGAATTAATACACTGTCGGTCACAGACCCCCATTTGATAAGATTTTATTTCAGGCACCTCCATCTGAAAGGATTTTGGTTGTTAGGTCAGAAAAGTCTCACTCACATTGGACTTACTTTATAGTGAAAATAAGCTATTCCCCCTGGAACTCCGTCAAGGACCCCTGGTTGAGAAGCACTGTACGAGGCAGCACTGTTATACAGAAAAAGAAAGCCCATTAGAAATCTAATTTCCAACTGGTGACAAGCGTCTTGAGTAACTAGCCTTATCATGTTGCTTGTTATTATATATCAGGCTTCTCACAGTGTGAACCACCAGTCAGACGCTCCTGTGTCGCTGTTTGCTCGATGTAAAATACTCTAAAGAGACAGAAGCTCAGCACAAAGTGGAAGAATGTTTCTATTTCTGGAAGGATTCTGCCAGTTTCAGCCTCCTCTTGTTTATCTGCTCTGATGTTTTCACACATACAGTATTGACACCCCCCCCCCCCCCCCCCCCCCCCCCCCCCCCCCCCCCCCCCCCTTCTTTTCACTTTTCTGCGTGGAATAGGCATTCCTATGGAAACAGTTTCCTCTACAAAACCCTGTCAACTGCAGAAACAGCAACTGTCAGCTTCTCAAAAACATGCCAAATACAACCAATGTAATCTTTTTTTTTTTTTTTAATGTTATGGAACAGCCATTCAACGGAAAACGACAGTCCCTCCTTCCTCACTACAATTAACAGGTACAAGGTTCTTTTATAACATTGGTTTCAAGATGTTAACATAATGTATATAACAGAGAAATGTGAATATGTATTTGTTCAGAATCAACAAAAAAAAAGTAGTGCTCCGAGTTTGTGGTAAAAAAAAAAAAAAAAAAAAATCTAAACAAAAAAAAAAAAACTACTCGCCTCAGTCATGTTTTTATTTTATGTTTTCTACTTTTTTATTTTTCTGATGATGTATGTATGTATATGACTATCAGTGAGTGTGTATGTATGTGTGTGATTAATACTGTATATCTGGTGTTCTCTAAGATGGAAAAGTGGAAGATGTCCTGGTTTGATTCTTTTCTTCTTTTTACTCTTTAGACCCTGCACAGTACCTGTGGGTGTTTCAGATAACTATGCCAGAGAATGGTTTAGCGACTGCTGAATGTGATTTTACTGAGAGAGAAGCAGTGTGGACTGGCTTTTTGTACGGGTTAATTTAAAAAAAAAAAAAAGGCCATATTATTTAATTTTCTCTGTTGTCAAAAGTTTAAGCAGATCTGGGAGAGTGGAGCCTTGGTTTTATGGAGAAGCATTGCCTGGTTGTTGTAAATGAGTGGGCTTTTATTTTTTTATTTTCTAACTGTCTGACTGATGTAGCCTTTTTTGCATTTGTCAATAGTAAAATGACCAAAGCTTCAAGATGTTTGATGGATATCATATGCAAAACCTCATCATCACTGGACAAGACATAATGTAGCGGCCCTTTTATTTTTTGTCAATTTGGATTTCTCACACAGCGACATTCTGCTGCTGTTTGTCTTGCATGTTCGTCTTTTCCTTCGCTCGTTACTTTCTTAGACACAATCTGTCCTTTAAAGCGGCCTGACGTCGGGTCGCTTTAGAGACGTCTCCACTTTGCCAATGAGGTCTTTTTTGTGCCTGAAGTGCTATCACTCGTTTACAGGAAGAAAAGAAAACATTGCAACCGATAGCTATGCACCTTACTGAAACAAGCATTTCCTCATGTTAACTTAGGTATGTAGAATTAACACTGGAGCAACACTAAATCATTAATTTCATAGGCAAAGTATTTGTAGTTACTTTACGAAAACAATGAAAGCCCCTTCAGTTAGCGTAGTGAATTTAGTTGATCTCTGATGACCTCTCTCAGCTTTTAATCGCATTCTTGGAAAAAGAAAAGTTTTTTTTTTTTTTTTTCCCATTAACTGAATACTTTATACCAAACTTAAGGTGCCTCGTGTATATACTTTCTGCAGTGAAGATTGCTCCTTTGCTGTTTAACAATAATAACCTTGTTAACCAGGGTTTTTTTAAACCTTTTTTCACCTTTATAAAAAAAAAAGTTTACTGTATTTTAAATGAACTTTTTTACACGAATAGAAGATTAATCAAATTATTCCAGGAATTTGCAAATACAATCTAATTTTGCACTTTATATCAGATTTACTTGGAGTGACAAGGCCATCAGAAACTGTATCAATCAGATCAGTATTTGGAGATAGAAAAAGTCCCCTGAATGTACCAAGAAAATTATTGACTAGCTCAGGTTCTTTATGAAGAACTTGACTGTAGTGGATACCCATTATCCAAATGATGACTAAAAATTGTACACACTTTACCTTCTTTGTAATGTATCTCGTGTCTCTTTCTTTCTCTGTCTACACCAACCGATCCTCAGTATTAATACTATGCCAGTCTTCTTCAGGTGACCCCCCTCCACCCCTTCTCTTCCTCTCTGCGCTGTCAGCTGACACCTGGCGAACTGTTAAAAAAAAAAAAAAAAACTCCAGCTCGAACTCTCAGAACATTCCTGCTCACAACACAGTTTCAGCAACCGTCAACACTTAGCTCTGTAGCTGCCGCCACCGCTCGGCATTCACTTTTCCCGCAGCTTTGAACGTGTTTTTCCTTAAACCAAGGTGGACACTCACTTTTCCTTAGTTCAAGTCTGGTTGTGTGAGACTTAATCTCTGCTATCTAGCAACAATTGTGCACTGACATAAATGACAACGCACTAACTGTGTTGCTTGTCTTCTCTGTTTTGCTTGTCTTGTCACACTTCTGTGCTGCATAATGTGGAATATGTTGTGGTGTGCCAATGACACCAAGACCAGGCCGAGGCTTGGTGCAGGATCGGGCCAATGTGTGGTGCACAATTGGGCCAATGTCTGGTGCAGGATTGGTTTAATGTTTGGTGCACGATTGGGCCAATGTCTAGTGTAGGATCTGGTCAGTGTCTGGTGCAGGATCAGGCTAATGTCTGGTGCAGGATAAGGCCAATCTCTGGTGCAGGATTGGACCAATGTCTGGTGCAGGATCGGGCCAATGTCTGGTGCAGGATCATGCTGAAGCCTCGTGCAGGATCGGGCTAATGTCTGGTGCAGGATTGGACCAGTGTCTGGTGCAGTATTGGACCAATGTCTGGTGCATAATCAGGCTAATGTCTGGTGCAGGATCGGGCTAAAGCCTCGTGCTGGACCAGGCTAAAGCCCAGGCCAATGTCCATTGTAGGTTATCATGTTTGGTGTCATGGAAATTCATAGCAAAAAAACAAAAGACAAAAATACATTTGAAGCATGAAATATATTCCATACATGAAAGGAGGATAGAGTTTGATCAGTTTTTTTTCCTGAAGCATTCTCATTGGTCCAAACTGGTATTTGTGCACTGCTAAGACTCTCCATAGTCCTTAAACTCCCACTCATTCCTATTGCAGGTGTTCAAAACTAATCTCTACTCTGTGTAATCAGCATCAGTAAAGTATTGTAAAGTGCTGTCGTATTGGGACTGAGGTTGGATATGGTTCAGAGACTTTACAAGAAGGCTTGTTATTAACTCACCACTTTGTGTTGGTTTTGGGGGGACGGTAATGCTTTCTCTGGAGAATTTGACAAAAAATGACCAAGGTTCCACTTTCTCCCTTGTACAAATTAATATAAATAAATATATATAAATATATATTATACATTTTACTCATTTTTGTCCAGTTTTGTATATTACATTCATGTAAAATTTGTTTTTAAAAGAGGCATCGGAGCAGCTATTACAAGACAATATGAGTGACAATGTTCATCTGGGAGAATTTTATGCATGTTATATTTTCTCTTTTTCTCTCTCTCTATCTCTCTCTCTGTCTCTTTTAATACCCCCCGACCCCCCTGTTCAGGTGTGTAACGTGAATATAAAGAAATCTACCTTTTCTTTGGAATGTTGTAGACAATCAGTCTCAGGCCGGGTCCAGTCCCTGCAGGGAGTGAGAGCCCTGTAGGCTGATAGACAAACAAAAAACTATTTTTGTTTGACAATTAAAAAACTTTTATTTGCATCTACTGGAAGTCTAAATTTGGAGGTTTGTTCATTCATATGTTCGTGGCTGCTCAAGTTTACACACACTTCTCTACTACACTCAAAACACAAACACCTCGTGCATTTGATCCCTCTGCTTTTTTTTTTTTTTTTTTTTCCAAGGTGAGGATGCCAACCTTGAGGAAATGATGCTTTGACTAACAAATCTATAACATCTATGAATGTGGGAATGCAACACATTGCAATAAAAGCACCATTTGAAATGCAGCATGTTGCCCTGGATGTTCTTTATTACCCTGAAATTATACAGATAAATTTAAAGGAGAAGGTTTTGTTCCTGTCAACAAGTTTGCAGATGATGGTGTTGTTTATTTTGGAGTCTACGCGAGTAACTGAATGTTGTGTCGTTATGTGGTAGTATAAAGTAGCATGATATGAAAATGCTCAAGTAAAAGTGCTTCAGAGTTGTACTTGAGTAAATGTACTTTGTTACATTTCTACCACTGATAGCATCAGACAGAATGTAATGTAGGCACACTAGTATGTTTGTATATATACTCACCAGCCACTTTATTAGGTACACCTTTGAAGTAGTACCCGTCAGAACTGCCTTAATTCTTGGTGGCATAGATTCAACAAAGTGCTGGAAACATTCCTCAGAGATTTTGGTCCATACTGACATAGCATTACGCAATTGCTGCAGATAAATTCAGCTGCACATCTTAGATGCGAATCTCCCGTTCTGCCGCCCATACCCCATACCACCAATATTCAAATATGCTCAATCCCCCATCCCCACCCCATCAATTACAAAAATATAAATTCATAAAGAATATTTCCACACCACAGCTGGCAACCACCCCGTTTTATGAAACCATAATCATAAACTTATCAAATTGCCATCATAATTATTACTGATAAACTATAAACTAACTATAAACTCATTCTGGATTTGATGCCTGCAGCAGGTTCAAACAAAGTTGGGACAGGCATGTTTACCACTTTGTTACATCAATCTTTTTTCCCCAAGCGTTTGGGAACACAAGACAGTAATTGCTGAAGTTTTGAAAGTGCAATTTGATAAATTTCACAAGTGGCATCCCCCAGAATCTTCAAGACGTAAAGACTACCTGTGTGGAAGAATGGACCAAAATCCTATCTGAGTGAACACTGTGAGACATTAGTTTCTTTATAGAGGAAGCCTCTTGAAGCTTGCATTGCAATCAAAGGCCTCTCCAAGTATTAATTAAATTTTGTTAGTGAGTTTAATACTTTTTTCGTGTCGGTCCACTCAATTGAAGTCTTCAGACGCCCCAGCAGATTTGGGCCCCCGCTCCTGGTGTTGACTCCATGGCTAGGGTCCTGGAAACATTTCTTCGTAGCAATAGAAAATCCGTCAATCATATAATTGCCCACATAACTGGACTTGTCCTTGTCCCAGTATACAAGCACGGGAGGGGAATCAGCTTATTGACTGAAGGATGTCCGAC